GAGAGTGTATGGATGTTTCCCAGTGATGGGTTGCAGCTGGAAGTGCATCCGCTGCGTAAAAACATATGTTGGATAAGTTGGCAGTTCATTCCTCTGTGGCGGCCTTAGATTTTTAAAGGGACTAAGCCAAAAAGAAAATGAATGAATTATACTGGGAGGCTCAGTGGTTAGCACTGTCACCTCACAGCAAGATTGCTGGTTCAAGTTCTGGTTGGCTCAGTTGGCATTTCTGTGTATGTTCTCTCCCTGTTGGCTTGGGTTTCCTCTGGGTGCTCTGTTTTTTCCCATAGTCCAAATACATGCGGTATAGGTGAACTGAATTAACTAAATTGACCGTAGTGTATGTATGTATGTGATGTAAATGAGTGTGTATGGATGTTTCTCAGTACTGGGTTGCGGCTGAGTAAAACATATGCTGGATAGGTTGGCGGTTCATTCCGCTGTGGCAACCCCAGATTAATGAATGAATAATAATATACTTTAAAAAATTATAATTTTACTATTTATTGAAAAGTATGTCTTGTCCTGTCACGGTGCTAAGAATGTTGGCTACTAACTCAGCTAGCATCCACTAACGATCAAAAATGGTGTTTTAAGGATAAAGAAACACTGTTCTCTTTTACAAATAGATGTGTTTGTTCACATTTATGTTTTAAAGGTAAAACTTTACATGAGGTTTCAAACTTGGCTTTAACAGGAGCCTAACCACTCAGTCCTGTCAGTCATCATTATGATTCAGTTTGTTCAGCATCCCTCACCTCTATGTCTCCTCCTCTAGTTCTCTTAGTTGTCCTCCACTGACTCAAAAGTGAAGCTCAGCCTTGGGTTTGACCCTCCTTTGAGGACTCCAAATTTGCCAAAAACAGCCTTCCCAAAACTTGTGGATGTCAAACACCATTACCTGTAAACAAGAAAGGAAGTTTATCAATATACACAGCTAATCAAAATTTTCAGCTCAGAGAATTCAATGTTAAGATTACAATTCTATTATTCCTATGTGCAGCTTAATATCAAGCAAAAAGAAAACAATTTTGACCCTAGTTCAGAGAGTTAGGATATTTTCTGCCAGGTGATTAATTTGGGTAACTTTAAGTAGCTTTTGATAAGCTATGATTAATCACATTAATGCATTTATATAACCAGATATCCCCTGCAACCAACAGCAGAACTTACACTCCAAAAAAGCCTTAAAGGTTACAGGCCAATACTACGTTGATATGACTATTTTCTTAATAATTTTATCACCGGTATTTCCCCTGCATTGTAAATTTAAGTTCTGCTTTAAAGTCCAACGAATAATCCATAAATTAAATAAAAAACATCTACCATGAAATAATCTTTCTGTGTTCTTTTATAGTGAATATTCAATCTTTTATAACAAATAACAAATGTAAAGATTTGAAAACTGTTTGAGTTGTGTACAGTTGCTGACAAAATCATGCCATAATAAATAGATATTATCATTGATAAAGTAACTACAAAAAATATACTGGGGAATACTGTTAATAGCCCAAACAATGTGAAACTCCTATAGCTATTGAAACCACTGTTGCTGTTAAGACCATAAAGTTGACCAAATTAATGTAAAACGGAGTGAGGAGTAATGACAGTAAATCCGTCAAACACAGGAGTGGTGTGAGTCTGACAGTAAGGTCTCGTGCAATCCACTGTAATCCACTGTAGAGTTATTTTAGTCCTGGCTAAAGGTTCAAAGAAAGAAAGTAAGCCAGACGGTGAAGACACGAGAAGCAAGCAGGGGGGAACAATTTATAGACGTTTGGAGAATAAAGCAAAGTCAAAGAAGACAAGACTTCTGACAGGTCAACAGATATCCAGTGATGATGGTGTAAAGAGATAAGGTTGATTAAGATTAAGATTGATTAAGCCTCACGTTATTTGGCAGATACCATAGCCAGGGCCAAAGAAGGCAGAGCTCTTTAATTGTAATCTGCTTGCTGCTTGCTGAGCAATAGAGAGAGAGAGAGAGAGAGAGAGAGAGAGAGAGAGAGAGAGAGAGAGAAGGAATAGGCAAGCTGCCTGGTGTAAATCGTGTGACACTTCACCTCACCTCCACCTTTAAACACAGATGGCACATGAGTCAGGTGAGGATGTGCTGTCAGAGATCAAGTCTGAAAGATCATAGTGGAAAGGACAATACCTTAGGGTCACTTTTGTCATCCCCAAACTCTTATTTGCCAACCAAACAGCTTTTAATCTCAGATTGCCTCTCTAAAAAAAGATTAGATAGATTTATTTCTATTAAAAGAAACAAAAACCAAACCTTAAATATATTTATTGTGTGCTAAAGAGGTCATTCAGGCTGCACTACAATTTCTGCCTCAGATATATAAAAAATAAGATGTAGTGGCAAATAGATTCAAATAAAGATTTATGTCACAAAGTTGTGAACGCAAAATATTTGGTCATAACACTTTTTGCATAGAAGTTCTACCTTTTTTGAGTATACAATCTCACGAAAAAACAAACAAAAAATTTTTTTGATTTATTTTTTATGATCCTGAGCATAACCTCAAAAAAATGAAGACATTATATCAGGAGGAAATACTTCCAATTAGTCAAACTATAATAAAAACAATATACAAATTAGATGAAAATATTGAAACAATTTTAAGTAGGCACATACACAAAAAATAAACAGAATTACCCAAAACTTTGGAACCATAGTGAATATTTGTTTTTGGCACCAACCATACTGAGTTATTTAAAACTCATGCTGATGTTTATGCCACTGTTACACATAAATGCAGTAAACTACAGTGTAGTAAAAAGAACAGAACTGTGATGTGCTTTGTGCTGTTATTTTTTAACCAGGGGTGCCCAAACTCAGTCCTGGAGGGTGACTGTCCTGTAGAGTTGAGCTCCAGCTTGTCTGAACCAGGGTCTTAAAAAGTCTCAAATCTCAAAAGCTAAATTTTAGGCCTTAAAAAGTCTTAAATCTACTGAAATTTTGTGTTGTAGGTCATAATCTTTTTTTTTTATTTTTTTTTTTTATCAGGTCTTTATTTTCCTTGTTTATGTATAGCTACCCAATCAGGGGTGCATTTCCGAAAACCATCGTAAGCCAATTCAGGTCGCCATTACAAACATAGTTCATTGATTTCACGTTTCCCAAATCCATTGTTCCAACGAACACTTGCAAACTGCATTTCAAACTTGCATATTTGCAACTACATCTCTTGAGTCAATCATAGTTCCTGGCTGTGTTCTATTCCCTGTTATTCCCCTATGCCCTGTTCATTTAGATTATTCTAACATTTTAAAGGACATCTCTCTTACGTGTAATTTGCTTTCAAAGCATTTTTACAGTTCAGTTTGAGAGATCTTTGACAATTGCGTTCCATTCGTAGTGGCCATTTATGCCATTTTTATCACAGCCATGGCTTATGATGAAAGCTGTAGGTGCCCTATTATTTAAAAGCGGAATTTACGATATGTCTCCAAAGCTTGTGAAAACAAAAATATATAGGATTTGTTAATAGTTTTAATTTATAGTAGGTTATTTATTAAGAAATGTATATGTAGGCCTATATGACATGGGCCTGTTTTCTGCCGAAGAGTTCTGCAGTGGTTTGAAAGTATCAAATTGTAAAAGTAGATTTTTCAAAAAAATAAAATAAAAAATAAATAAACAAACAATATCTTACTTAATAATAATAATAATAATAATAATTATTATTACTATTATTAAGTGGGATTTTTTTTCATTTCTTAATAAATAGCCAACTGTAAATTAGGCCTACAACCATTACCGATTTATATGATTCATATTTGAGATTAGAATATGTGTTAGCTTAGTGATTTTATATGGCATATTCTCAATAATAGATGTAAAGGAAACATATATAGGGCCTATATGTGTCATTCAGATATATTTCAATTAATATGAAACACGAGTGCAAAAGTAATATTAGATTTTTTTTTAAATGTGAGTGTGTGTAAATATAATTTCCACAAAAAAATTATGGGAATTTTCTCTAAAGAACTAGTTACTCCGCCATGTTTAGAGCATCACTACGAACGTTTTACATTATAACTAACATGGTTAAAACGATAGATCTGCGACAGAGAAACTAAGGTTTTGGGAGACACTCGTCATTACATCGTTCTTTTCCCAACCGATGCATCGTACTATGATAGTTCAGCCGCAAGTTATGTCGTTGTTTGAGAAACACACCCCTGGCCATTAACACTCTTACAATCACCAACAATCCATCTCAATAAAGTTTTTTACTTCTTATTTAAAAATAGAATTTCAAATACTTTGCTTACAGTAACATTTGTTTAAAAGTGCTTCATTTATTTAGGATGCTGACCTAACTTTTTATTATTAAAAAGTATTCAATTAAAATCCTTTTTGATAGATCAAGTTAAAAAACTTTTCCAACTGGGATATTAAAAAAAAATGCTCAGCATTCAGCCCTGTATAATTCCAAAATGTTATTCATGATGGTCTTAAAAATGCCTTAAAAGAATTCAATTTAACTTAGTGAAACCGGCAGAAACCCTGCTAAACACAGCTGTGAGACCTTGAGTAGCTGGCTCAGGAGTGTTTAATTGGAGCTGGAGCTAAATTCTTCAGGACAGTAGATTTCCAGGAGCAGGACTAATCATCTAAACATTTATGCTTTACATATTTTATGCTCCTATATTCTTACTAACCTTCTTTTTTCTTTCCTGTTTTTGTCCCTTTCTATTTCCTTCTCTTTCTCCAAACTCTTACATGTCGCTTTTCTCACACACAACACACACGCACATACACACACACACACACACACACACACACACACACACACACACACACACACACACACACACACACACACACACACACACACACATTTCTATAACAGACAGTGATGGCTGGTTATTGTGCAATAGTTTTGGGCTAGTGCCCCTCAGTGGGTAGAACCCAAACCGAGAGCTAAGTATTTCAGCCTTCACACTGACAAAACACTCACCAAACACACAACATCTCTCAGTGCCACCTGTTCTCTCTTCGTCTCTGATATTCAACAATAAAACAAAGATAAAATGAATGACCACACAAGCTTTCTCTGCCAGTCCCACCACCCTCGATGGCAAACACAGTCTTCTGCTGGAAAGAGACGACGGAAACAATCCTCATCGCAAAAATCTGAAACCCCAGCGAGCCCAGTGTCCTCGTCCCCAGTGCTACGCAGCCACAGCTGGTGGGGAAACTGCTTTCTCCTTCCTCTAGTCATGCTTTCATACTTTCCCTGTGAAGCCTGGGGCACCACCTTCAAAATTGCCATTGTAGGACCGTGGGCATGTGACCCCATGTACTCTAAAGCCCTGCCAGATCTGGCTGCCCGATTAGCCATGAGCCGCATCAACAAAGACCCCGAACTCAATAAAGGCTACTGGTATGATTACACAGTCATTAACGAGGATTGCTCCAGCTCCAGAGGCCTGGCACGCTTTGCCGAGCTGGAGGGTTACGGTTCGGCTTTTCTAGGACCGGCAAACCCTGGCTACTGCACGGCTGCCACACTGCTGGCAAAGAACTGGAACAAAGGCATCCTATCCTGGGGTTGCCTGAAGGCTGAGATGGATGAAGAGATGTATCCCACCTTTCTGCGGCCGCTGCCGTTGTCCTCCCGGGTGCTTTTCTCTGTGCTGCGGTTCTTCCGTTGGGCACATGTTGGGATTGTAACTGCTGAGGGCGACATGTGGGAGGCAACTGGGCATGAGCTTGCAGCATCCCTGCGTGCTCTTGGCTTGCCCGTTGGTAAGGTTGTTACGATGGAACAGGACAAAGAGGGGCCACGGCAAGCCCTACAGGCAATACGGGACACAGATCGAGTAAGGGGTGAGTTCTCTGAGATCTGTTTATTTGTGCTTAGAAACGTAAATAGGTTTTTAAAATGCTCTGAGAACAAAATCACTATTGAATGGTCAGTGCTTCCAAAGTGTTGCTAATCACTTCAATATTTTGTTGTGCTGAAAATATACAGATTTTCAGATTTAGATATTAAATGCCAGATGTCAAACATTTTTTACCACATTTATCCTTTACGTTAAATTTAATTTAGCTACCTAAAGGTTTTTACATGATGGTACATTGAACAGTTTATGGCTTAAAAGAATCATTTTACTTAATGTGGCTTCATATTGTCAGTTTTAGTTTGATTCAACTGTTAATTATGTGGTGTGTTGATATTTTTGAACATGGCATACACACACCATTTTGATGGATGCAAACAAAAACAATGCTTCCACCATATTTACTGTTTTTACTGTTTTTAATTATTATTATATAGCTTCCGAGATTTAAAAAAGAGCCACATATAGATAAATGATGTTATGACGGCTATTTTAACATTAATTTATGATTAAATTGCCAATTGTTAGTTATGAAATAGTTTGATTACACGCAGGAAATGTTTATCACATGACCACATTAAACATTTCTCCTAAACATTTGGTTGAGGGTGAAGGAAGTATTCTGCCTCATTTGCAAATAATATTTAACAATATACATTAATATATATTTTATATTTATATCCTAAAACAGTTAACATTTCTTCAGTGCTTCGTTACTTCAGTCTTACCTCACCGTCTTCCATTTTGGTCGCGAACTGTTTGTCTGTGTGAGCCGCAAACCCCGCCTACTTTATTTCGATTGATTGGCCATCTTTCAGTCAGTTTTTGTACTCACAAACAACAAAGGAACTCGTTCAACGGAAATATTCTGGACGTTTGGTAGGTTTGGTCGCAAGATATAATAAAAATCGGCATTGTTTATACATTTAAGTTGATTAATCTTTAAAATTGTTAAAGTGAACGGCTAATGTGTTTTTTGTTGGTCCAAATCGACCAATGGTCCAGAAGAGCAACGAACCAAGAGAACAACTAACGTTAACGTTAACATTATAGGAAGTGTAAACATTGTGAATCATTTTAACAATCAAAATATTTTCTCACTATAAATAACCATTGTTAGGAAATGTTTCATGAATGTTTGAAGCTTGTTGATAATAAATAATATTTATTGTGAGTGTAGCCTACTAAAAAACTAAATTTTATGAAAAAATTTAATTTATTCAGCCATTATGTTATGTCTCTCAGTTTGATGAGATATTCATTAGCTTATTGTTTTATTTGATAATTTATTTTCAAATTACTTTATTTTTATTTGTTGTGTGCAGTTGTCATCATGTGCATGCACTCTGCCCTGATTGGTGGAGAGGAACAGTATCAGTTGCTGACTACAGCATTGGAAATGAGAATGATTGACCGAGGGTACATCTTCATTCCATACGACACCCTGCTCTATTCACTGCCATATGAAAATGTAAAATATCCAATCCTGGCCAATGACAGCAAACTGCGACGAGCATACGATGGGGTCTTAACAGTAACCATGGACCAAGGGGAACAAAACTTTTATGAGGCCTTTAATGCAGCACAGGAATCCTTTGAAATCCGCGGCAGCACATCAGCTGAAGAGGTAACACGATGGGTATGAACTTGCTTTACCAAAGGTTTTACTACAAGTGGTATCAATTTAAAATAGGCGTACATGATTTGTGGATAGCAAAAGCTCAAACTGTAGTTAATTAGAAAGTATCTTACCCACAAGACTGATTTCTAAAAAAAATCCAACATAAACAATCATGAATTCCATATTTTAATTAAACAGGTGTTTTATAGTTAGGTCAAACCATAATAAACACTTTCAAAACCTTAACTATAGACTGTCTCAGTTAAAAAGGAAGAACACTGAACTTAAATATCTAAAGGTTTTTACATATATCAGCATGTGTGTTACCAAAAATTGCCTTATAGTCCCCAAAAGTGAGTTTTTTCTCTCTTCTTGGCAGGTTTCTCCATTTTTTGGGACCATATATAACATGATCTATTATACAGCCATGGCTGCAGAGCAAAGCCGAGCTTCGAGTGGTGGGCGATGGGTATCGGGCGATTTACTGTCTCAAAACGAGGGTGGATTTGAATTTGATGGCTTTAACCAGCGGATATCGGGAGGTACTAACGGAGAGGGAATGCAGGTCCGCTATGCTGTCCTGGATTCAGACGGCTCTGGGTCCAGCCTGTATCGCACACACGCCCTGGAAGCTTCACACACATATGGAAAATATGGAGGGTTAAAATACTTGGGGAAGTCAATTCATTTTGCTGGAGCGTCTCCGAGCAGTGACGCGAACTGCTGGTTTAGTCCTTATATCGCATGTAGTGGAGGTAACAAAAACAACAGTAATTCATTGTATTCCAGTTGAAAGATCAGCTCTGATTCTGTGTTGCTCTTTCTTTCTGCAGGATTGGATGGAGTGACGCTTTTCTTCTTGCTCATGTTTTTCATAGTGTTGATAGCGGGTGCAGGCATCCTTTTTCTACAAGTTAGGTATGAATTTGGTATGAGTCGCAGCATACAGCACTGGTTTTTAACACGTTTTAATGATGTGTATATGTGTGTGTCCAGAAAATATGGGGCTGGAGGTTTTTTTGGTGCGTTTATTGGAGGAGGAGGAAGCCCCACTAAGATAGTGCTGACGCTGGATGACTTGGTCTTCATCAACACCACACTCAGCAGAAGGGTCGGTCTCAAATACTCTCGGACTCTCAAAGCCTTTTGGTCTTCCTTTGAATTTTACTTTGTCTATGTCTCTCTCACTGTCAACTTCTTTTTATTTCTCTCTGTGTGGCTCTGTAGAAGCTAAATGAGGAGTGTGTAGTAATAATAAAAACTAAAATAACTTTAGTGTGTGATTTGCTGCGAGTGTGATGAAATTAAGTACAGGCATGAGTGTTTTCTTGGAATTTGCTCTCACTCTCTTTTTTTTGTGTGTATAGTTTTTAATGTCTTTCTCATTATTGGTTTCTTTCTGTAGAAACTGAATGACGAGAGTATGCTGAAGAGTCAGCTAGATGTTAAAACCCCGCGCCACTCAGTCTCTGGTCGCAGTTACATCACATCAACCCCAGAAACATCCAATGTTGCTGTATTTGAGGTGTGGGAAATTTGTGAGTTTTTGTGTACTGGCATTGTGTTCGGTTCTATGATGAAGCAATATTACATGAGAAAGTGTGATTTTTTAACTGGATACCAGAAGGTAATCTAATATTCGGTACAACAACATGTTTTCAGAAAAACAAGAAGTTATGAAGTATAATTTCAGATCATTTTTGACCAGTAGGTTTAGTGTTTTACCTCAAACAATGCACAATGTTCCAAAGGAAGCCAAAACTGTCAAGCAACAGGAAACAGACTGGAAGTGAGAAGCATTAAGAGTCACATTCTAGAAACAAAAACTTCCAGGTTCTATTTCTTTACCGAGAAATAGATTTATGATAACAATAACGGTTAGAACACTTATGGTTAAAAATGTTTATTTTTATTTTAAATAAATCATTTGCGTTGACTTTCCCTCATTGAAGCTTTAAAGTATTTTGATATATTTTTTTTAATACAGCGGGTAAAATAAGTATGTCATGATTTTTCCTGCTAAGAGTAAGCAGGGAGTTTATTTGCTGAAGTGTTCACGGAAGAGATGGGTTTTTAGTTGTTATTTAAAGGATAGCAGTGTGTGAAAGGGTTCGCTCAGTGGCTGTTCTGTAAGCAAGCATCATTGATTTGAAGTTGATATGAGGTTTAACTTGTAACCAGTGCAGGAAGATAAAGACAGGTGTGACATGGGCTCTGGCTCATTAAAGACCAGACTATCTGAAGCATCCTGTATCATTTGTAGAGATTTAAAGAAAGATGGGAGTTCAGCAAGAAGAGTATTGCAGAAGTACAGCCTAGAAATGAAAAGAGCTTTTACTAGAAGTTCCAAGAAGGGTTTGGCCTTTGATGTTGAAAAGTGTAAGCCTGTTTGATCGATGTTGGCAATGTGCTCATTGAAGGACAACTGGTCATCCAGAATCATCCCAAGATTTCCACTGAATTAGATGAGTTAATATTAGATCATGTTAATGAAGAAATGGTGTTGAAGTGTGAAGTTGTGGGGAAGACAAGAGATCCTTGCAGCTACCGTTGGGTCATCAGGCTGACCCAAGTGAAATGTAGAGCTGTATGTCATCAGCATACCAGTGATAAGTGAAACCATGTAATTGTATGATGGTTCCTAGGGAAATAGTAGGGGACCAAGAACAGATCCCTGTGGTACCCCTGTGATCAACTGCTGAGATTTGGATACTTTTCTCTCTAGGCAGTCCTAGAAGACTCTGGTAAGACTCCAACCAGCAGAGCGAGGTTCCAGTGATGCCCATTGACCTGAGGGGGGACATGGAATCTAATGATTTACAGTATCAAAAGCAGTAGGCAGGTCCAGTAAAGGCAGAACAGATGATTTGGAACCTGCTTTAGGATTTCACAGGGCTTCAGTGACTGATAGCTCAATGCATTGTAGGCTGTTTTGGTAATTACAGCTTTAAGACACATCTTGTAAGGAGAATAAAATTGCATGCATTGCTCAGGTGTGATTATTCTATATAGTTCAACAGAGTCTAAATATATTGATGGTTCTGTGGGTCTCTTCTACGAACTCCGAGCTATATATTTTGTTTTCTATTGGATTCAGATCAGGTGATTGACTGGGCCATTCTAGAAGCTTATTTTTTTTTAAACCATTTGAAAGTTTCCTTGGCTATGTTTAGGGTCATTGTTTTGCTGAAATTTTATCTCCGTAATTCCAACAAAGTTGGTATATTAATTAACACTGACAAGGGACAGGGTTGCTTTCTAACTACTGAATGAATTCAGCTGCTGTCTTGGCTTTCCATGCCTTTTATACCTTCATTTCTTCATGTGTTCAATAATTTTTTTCTGTGTCATAATTATTATACATAACTTAGCTTTGTTTTCTTTGCATGTATGGACAATGTCAAGTCAAAAGCACCTTTAGAATGATATTTTCTGTCAAAAATTGTGACATGCTCAATACTTATTTTACCCACTGTAAGTCTTTACTTCAAATTAATATTTGTAATTTATATTTAATCTTTTAGCTGATTGGTTTAGTTTGTGGGTCATACTACTGTTGCAAATACTACTGTAAGATCCACATGGGGAAAAAAATTAATAAATAATTTAGAAACCAGTGTTGCTGAAAACAATTGACAGTACTGATGCAGTCTTTAATGAGTACAGTTGCACTTTTGCTCCAATGTTGTGAAATCACTTTTTTTTATAAACATCTACAGCACTTTGTGTTTTCCATTTCCCACTCACACATTAAATCAAGATCAAAAACTCAATGTCCACAGTGAAGTATTGTGTATGTTACCTGTTTGTTGCATCTTTGGTTAAAAAAACAATCAGTAAAACTAGAGAATTCTAATCTTCATAACTTTTTAGAATGTATTTCAAAGAATTATGCATATTATTTTCCTCTTACTAAAGTACAGAAAATGTGATTAACACTGTCACAAGGAGGTTGTGTGTGAACCCGAATTGTGTTTAATTGTTTTATTCTGTGCTGTCAGGGTGACTGGGTCTGGTTAAAGAAATGCCCCTGTGCAGATTCTATTACAGAGATCAGTGAAAGCACACAGACCATCTTTGTCAAGGTAGGAGAGAGAAAGTGAGAGAATGAAAGAAAGGTTATTTAACTAATACACTGTGTATGTGTTTTGAAAAGAAACATACTCAACTTCTGTACCCTCTTTTCCTCTTCTGTTTGTCCTCATCTTCACTCTCCACAGCTGAGAGATATGCGTCATGAGAATCTGAACTTGTTCCTGGGTCTGTTTATGGATACTGGTATATTCGGCATTGTTACAGAGCACTGCACCAGAGGCAGTCTGGAAGACCTGCTCAACAATGAGGAAATGAGGCTTGACTGGATGTTCAAATCCTCTCTTCTCCTCGACCTGATTAGGGTGAGGAATTGAGGCGATAGAAGAATGGTTCAAATAACAATGAGTAAAAAACGACTCCGCTAGAAAATGAAGATGTTGACGGCAAATATTGTTAAATATTAAAATGTTTCCCACTCTCTGTCACTTTCTTCTCAATGCCTTCTTTATCTTACCCTGTCAGGGAATGAAGTACTTGCATAATCGGGGCATTATTCATGGACGCCTGAAGTCTCGGAACTGTGTGGTGGATGGTCGATTTGTTTTGAAGGTTACAGATTATGGCTTCAATGAAATCCTCAACTGCCAAAACATCATCCTGGAGGACAACGCACCAGAGGGTATGTGTGATACATGTGTTACATATGTTAAGATGTTAAAAAGGGATAAGACCGTAACATTTAAGAGAGACAGTGACATAGGTATGACACAGATCAACAATGAGGCAGATAGGAGTTGTTGAGCAGTCTTTACTGAATTATCAACAATTATTGAACAAAAAAGGTCCTACTTTATATTAAGTGGCTGTAACTACATGTACTTACATTCAAAAAATAAATACTATGCACTTATTGTGTTTATAAAGCACTGCAGAACACTTTTGTTGTCATTGAGTCTATGAGTATAGGTACACTGTAAAAAATAGTCCTGGTTGCCTTCAATTTTTAAGCTGAATCAAATTAAAATTATGATTCCACTGAACTATGATGTTAAAGTGACAAAACAGCTTGCATAACTTAATAAATAATAATACAATTATGCTTATAATAAATTACTTATTATTATTATAATAACATTAAGTTAAAACAGGATTAACTTAGAATAATAAGTTATAATGACCTTAAAAATATATGCTGTCAGTACTAAATGTTCATGCAGTTTTTTTACAATGTAGGTTTAGGGATGGGTTGAAATGTAAGGGATGGTCAGCATTGTATTATATATGTAATTACAGTGATTAATTACAATGTAATTACATGCATGTATTTAATCTAGCATAAGTACAATGTAAAAAAACATAAACACATGACACATGAAGTACATTGTAACAAATTATTAATTTCAGTGTGAGTGCATATTAGTTAAGGTCACCCAATATGTAGTGGGACTGAAAAAAAGATATATAAAATAATAATATAAAAATAAATAAGTCGTGGCCAAATTAACTAAATTAATTAATAATCAACCCTTAAATTGAACTCTCCTATAAATCTAAATTACAAAATAAAGAATAAAAAGAATAAACTCAAGATCTTCAATATATGTGACACTCTAAACTAATCATACTAAAAAACAAACAAAAAAAAAAATACAGGAGCAGCAAAACACTTAAAACCTAATCTAGCAAAACACAAACTAACCTAATATACATAAACAAATGAAGTACAAAAAATCACAAATTGTTCAACAAATGAACTTATGTTACATCAGACTATTATCTGAAGTAATAAATAGGTCACACTTTACAATAAGGTTCATTAGTTAATGTTAATTAATGCATTTACTAACATGAACAAACATCAAACAATACATCTACTACTGTATTTGTTTATGTTAACGTTAGTTAATAAAAATACAGTAGTTCATTGTTAGTTCACGTTAACTCATGGTGCATTAACTAATGTTAACAAGCGTGGACTTAAATGTTAATTATGCATTAGTAAATGTTCAATTATGATTAATAAATGCTGTACAAGTGTTGTTCATGATTAGTTCATGTTAGTAAATGCATTAACTAATGAACCTTATTGTAAAGTGTTACCAATAAATATTCAATGAAAAACAACCTCTTGATGTACGATAAGGCCGAGTGCACACCACACAATGAACTTGAAGGCCTTTAAATCCAGTTAGCCTATCAGTGGATTGGCAGAGATGATGATGTTGTAACAATGAATGACAGGAAGATCGACCAGTAAACACCTAAGAGTAGCGTAAGATAATAGGAACAAAGACAGAAGAGTAACAAAACAAATGGGCAACACAAATATCTTGATACCTCAGGCTGTTAATGTTGCCATCCACTCTGTAGATCTCTCAAACACCAAACTTGACTGATTTCTGTAAGAATTTCGGGTTCATGCGGGTTCCAATGGGTCTTCTGCAGTATTTGTTGTGACTGGGATGCAGTCATCTGAAAAATCTACCTTCTGCCACTTTTACAAATGATCAACTAGAAGTCATGTTATTATTTGTTGCTTTTACAACTGGGATGGATGACAATATTTTTGTCAGGCAGTGTGTCTTTCTGACCTCGGTATCTTTGCTACAGATCAGTTCTGGACAGCTCCGGAGATCCTGAGGAATCCTGATCTGAAGAAGAAGGGAACATATCCAGGAGATGTATACAGCTTTTCTATCATCATGCAGGAGGTGATCTCTCGCTGCGCACCCTTCTGCATGTTGGATATGCCTCCTGAAGGTTAGACCAAACCACCACATAATTACAATCCACATCCATGTTTACAGAATTAATGGTGAATCTAAAGATGGAGTTGGTTTAAAGGAGTGCAGATCTAAATACAGAGTAGTAAGTTGTCAGTACTCCGGTTGTGTTTTTCTGTCTACAGAAATCATAGAAAAGGTGCGCTCTCCTCCACCACTGTGCCGACCCACTGTGTCTATGGATGAAGCTCCGCTAGATGTGATTCAGCTCATGAAGCAGGCCTGGAGTGAGGAGCCTGAACAGAGGCCTACGTTTGAGGATATATTCAGACAGGTACACACTAACTCTTTCATTTGCGCACACACACAAACAAGACACTTAAAAGTTTTGTCTTCTGGGACTTTCTGTAAAGATAATGATTTTTGCAACATAGGCTCATTCTAAAAATGTAGCCCTATATACATTTCTGGAGATTAAAAACACTGTCGTTTGGGTTAAGGAAAGTGGGTGGGCGGGTCAATTGGGTCAACTATTGGTTGGGTTATGCGAAGAAGGAGGGTGTGTCAGTCAATCAGGCGGTCAGTCCATCATTTAGTCAGTCGACAGCATGTAAATCCATCCTCTGGTGGAGTTACATGAGAACAGCAGGCACGAATGGCACTTGCGAGAGATATTTAACATCTGAAAAAGCGTACACAGTGGCCTCTGGTGGAAACAAAAACTGCAAAACAAACATAGCTCCTGGGATGTATTTGGCATTCTCCAGAAATTAAAATAGGGGTACGTTTTCAGAATGAGCGTGGGTTGGATTTTTGTACTGTGTAATCTGGCTTTTAATCCTAAACACAGCAGAAAGCTTTCAGCACTTTACATTTTCAAAAACATTATTTGGTATAATATATTAGCTGTATTCCTATTCCTATATAAAGTTCTTATTATAAAGTATATCCATGTGGTGACATCCAGTGTGTGTGTGTGTGTGTGTGTGTGTGATAGAGAGAGAGAGTTAGAGACCCAGGACCACAAATCCAGTCAAAAAGATACATTTTACATGCATCATCTGAATAAATAGGTTTTCCATTGATGTTTGGCTTGTTGTGATAAGATAATATCTGTCTGAGATACAAGTAATTTAAAATCTGAAGTTTTGTGGTTTAAAAAAAACTAAATATTAAGAAAAAAGCCTTTCAAGTTGTCCAAGTAAAGTTCAGTTACAGTAGGAAACTCACAAAATTTCTTCATGAAAGTTGATCTTTACCTAAAATTCAAAATTTTGGCATAATATAAAAACCTATAATTTTATTTTCATACAATGTATATTTGACTAGGGTGGCATGGAGGCGCAGTGAGTAGCACTGTCACCTAACAGCAAAAAGGTCGCTAGGTCGCTGGTCCAAGCCCCGACTGGGTCAGTTGGCCTTTCTCTGTGGAGTATGCATGCTCTCCCTGTGTTTTTGTGGGTTTCCTCTGGTCCAAAGACATGCGCTATGGGTGAATTGGGTATGCTAAATTGCCCGTAGTGTATGTGTGTATGTCATGGTCCTCCAGGTTGGGGGTTGACCATTGGGCTAACGACCCACCTTGTAAAATTGAATGCTACGAAACACCAACATGTTGCAGTTAACTTTAATATAAAACAGGACTGGAAGTAAGCAAGTAAGTATATTTGACTATGACTAAAATATACCTGTGCAACATTAGACTGATTTTGCAGTCCAGGATCACACACTATATAAATGAAAATTGGAGAAAACAATATAATAAATCTCCTATTCTATATCTTTTTTTCCAGTTTAAGAGCATGAACAAAGGAAAGAAGACTAACATAATAGACTCAATGTTGAGGATGCTGGAGCAGTACTCCTCAAACCTGGAGGATCTGATCCGAGAGAGGACCGAAGAACTGGAGGTAGAGCGACAGAAAACTGATGCTCTTCTAGCCCAGATGCTGCCCAAGTAAGTCCTGCTTAACATGCTCACGTTTCTCCCTGGATTTCCCGCTCTTCTAATTTCTCACACTGCTGCTCTGTCTTTCAGGTCGGTGGCCTTGGCATTAAAAACAGGGAAGCCAGTGAAGCCAGAGCATTTCGCTGAAGTCACACTGTATTTCAGTGATATCGTGGGTTTCACCACCATCTCTGCCCTCAGTGAACCCATCGAAGTGGTCGATCTGCTTAATGACCTCTACACACACTTTGATGGAATCATCGCTATCCACGATGTCTATAAGGTTTGATGAAGGTTTTAATCTTTCTTTTATAGACTTCAGGGAACTAAACAGACAATATTAATATCACAGTATTAGATTAAAGGATTTTTTTGCACATCCTTTCTTTAGAAGTTGCCAAATGTACAACCCTGTACCTTACAGTTCCCACCACATATAAACCCTTGTTGAAGATCAAAAAAGAAGGCTGTGAAAAGACTCACTTTATTGGAAAACTTTAGGTTTGCTCAAAATGTTAACAGTGCAGTTTTATCAAAAATATATTTGATAAACAAATATAATGAATTATAATTTATCAAAATGCTAATGAAGTATTATAATACTTCATTAGGATGGCAGTAATTGTGGCAATAATAGTTTATGATTTTAGTGCACCTAGTGACAAGGAACAGGAAATTGTTCAACCATGATATCCTGTTTTACAAGTCTATACATATTACATTAATATTGGGTAAAACAAAGCTAAACTCATTATTCACAATGGAAAGAGCAAATAACTGAGCTCTGATTTACAGCAAAATTGAAAGTCTTGACATGGCCAAGTATGGTGACCAATACTAGGAATTTGTGCTCTGTATTTAACCCATACAAGTGGGTGGTGAGAGCGCTGGTTATTCCCTTGTACCACCGACAATCCCAGAGCCAGTACTCGAACCTGCAACCTTCCGATCACAAGTCCAACTCTCTAACTTTTCCAAAGGAGCTTCACAAAAGGGGAAGGTGACTATAATGCAATAGCAAAACCACTGGAAGCTTCTGTCAGCTGGAAGTGTTATGAATCAGTTTGTAAGAGAAAGTGTGTTTCTTTCCCAACAAAACTGTTAGGAGAAGATAGTTGGGTCAGAAAGTCTCCAAAACTACAATCCAGTAGTCGCCAACATCACCACACATAGTTTAATAGTCATCCAAAAACAACTTGAGGGTCTTTCTTTTTTTGTTAATATTATTATGCACAAAACGGTTAGCAAGGTTCCTTTCAGTTTAACAGATGTCTAAGTGAAGTTTATAGACTAATTTCGAGAGGATCACATGCTTACTACTGGCGACTACTGGATTGTAGTTTTGGACACTTTCTGACCCAACTATCTTCTCCTAACAGTTTTGTTGGGAAAGAAACACACTTTCTCTTACAAACTGATTCATAACACTTCCAGCTGACAGAAGCTTTCAGTGGTTTTGCTATTGCATTATAGTCACCTTCCCCTTCTTCTTTGGCTCTCGGCGAAGGCCGTCGCTCTTTCTCCCGCTCCGTCCCATATCTCTCCTTGCTAGCACCTCTTGTCTCATCTTATTCTATCTCTGAGGCTCTCCTTGTCCTGCTTTCCAAACGAAAAAGGAGTTATGGATTTGATCAACTGGTCTCTGAATGCAATTGACACCATCTTCTCAACGAGATCGCTGGGCTCCGGGGAACCCAGCTGTCCTGCGGGGACGTTCGCAGCTGGATAAGTGCTGGACGGGTGGGAGAAGTGGAGAGTCCTCTGTCTAGCTGCTCTGTCTCTGGAGCATATTGAAGATATTTACCTATTCGGAACTTTGATAACAGGGTTTCTGCTGATGGGCTTATGCGGGGCCCTGGGATATCGGAAACTGATAAAAGCGGTCAGCGCAGCTCAAAACCCCACTAGGCTGGCCGGCTTGATTGAAACACTGATGGGTAGGGTCGCGAATCAGACTATGGTCCTTGACCGCAAACTGGAAACCATCGAGGTGAAGCTTGCGGCTCTGCAACAAATTTTGGCCAGATCGGGAGACGAGTGATGGACATTAAATATCTGTGAAATTGGCAGATATTGACCTAAAGTTGAAGTATCTTACTGTCTTTTTTTTTCGGCTCTCCTCTTACTCCTGCCATACGGCCTCGGCTGGAAGTAAACAACTCCCTGGGTAAGCAAGATAAGCGGACGCTCTGAAATTCCTGCCCCTGTCAAGGACACCTGCGGGACTCTGGACTATGCAGGCTCACACACACACAAACATATCTACAGATAAATATTCACCACCAATCCCCATCCAAACGCCTTCGTGTGCTTTTACCCACGTGGGGCGTGGGCGGGACTGTGACTTGCGCCGGAAATGGCTGCTGGACCAGTTGGCTGCCCGCACTCAACGGACTGTTTTCCATTACCCCTGTTCCCATCCCCTCTGTCTATGTTGTGTCTTGCCGGTGTGCTTATGCTAAGATAGGGCTGTTTTTCTCCTTTTTCTTACTTTGTCCTAATCAAGGGCAAGCTGAGGGGGTGTTTTTTAGCCTAACTGTCCAAATGTATCTTTCTTCGTTTCTAAATGCTACCTCCTAAGATCTGTCTCCCCTGAAAAGTTGTTTGTGATGTGTTGTGTATGGTCTGGGGGGTCCAATTTCGCTATACGAAAGTGTAGTGACAAATAAAGGCTTGATTGATTGATTGATTATGACTGCTAGCGGCTGGATCCGCATTATCCAATTCACATGCTCCAATCAGACGACACCTAAACTACTATAAATACCCTGGGTTTCATTCCACTGCTATCTTCGTTTTGAAGATTCCCCCTTCCACCCCTACTCCTCCTTCCTAGATGGGTGACACGGTGGCCCAGTGTGTAGCACTGTTGCCTCACAGCAAGAAGGTCTCTGGTTCCACGCTTTACCAAACCAGCAGACATTTCTGTGTGGAGTTTCCAGTTTCCCCCCATGCTCACATGGGTTTCCCCTGGGTTCCCCGGTTTCCTCCCACCATCCAAATACATGCAAATTAAGTTAATTGACTAATCCAAATCGGCACCATAGACATACTCCTAGTATATAGTTATCTCCAAGAGCAATCACTTACTGTTCATTGGTTACTTACAGCAGGGGAGCTCCCGAGATCTACCTGAGCTCAAACTCCCCTCCTGCCTTGCAACGGGAGGGAGCCCCGGGCTCGAGGATCATGAGCTCAGGGCTCTCTTTCGGGACAGCATGCCAAACAAGCTTTTTAATCAATCATCAGCTAAGTGTGAACTCTTGAATAGATGTCCAAACAGCATCTTGACTTAAACAAGGCTAAATTTGGGCAGTCATTGATAATCAAATAGACATCTCACAATAGTCCAAAAATAGACTAGTCAGCAAATAAGACAGGAATGAGTGACTAATTTTGGCGCCCTTGTTAAATATGGCCAGCAAGATTAGAAAGATTAGATAGACTTCACATCGTGCATTCGTACATTCCTATCTGTTTGATGACTAGTAATCTTTCTGACCTAACAGCCTTCCTTGCTCATATTTACCAAGAGTGCTAATATTAGTGGAGGACACTGTATACTCATAAAAGCTGAGCAGTAATGCCTTAAAGGTACATAAACTCACCGGCAACTTTATTAGGTACATCTGTCCAATTGATCGTTAATGCAACTCAATGCTGCAACTCAATGCATTAAGGCATGTAGACATGATCAAGATGATCTGCAATTCAAACTGAGCATCAGAATGGGAAAGAAAGGTGATTGAAGTGACTTTGAACATGGCATGGGTGTTGGTGCACGCACAACCATATACAGGGTTTATAGAGAATGATCCAAAAAAGAGAAAGTATCGAGTGAGAGACAGTCTGTGGGCGCAAATGCCTCGTTGATGCCAGAGGTCACAGGAAAATAGCCAGACTGGTTCTAGCTGATAGACAGGCAACAGTAACTCAAATACACCACTCCTTATAACCAAGGTATGCAGAAGAGCATCTCCGAACGCACAACATGTCAAAAATTAAAGCGGATGGGCTACAGCAGCAGAAGACCACATCAGGTGCCACTTCTATCAGTTAAGAACAGGAGGCTACAGTTCACACAGGCTCACCAAAATTGGACAATAGAAGATTGAAAAAATTGGGTTTGGATTGGTTTTCCGCTGTGACATTCGGATGGTAGGGGTCAGAATTTGTCGTCAACAACAGGAAAACATGGATCCATCCTGCCTTGCATCAAAAGTTTCGGCTGGTGGTGTAAAGGTGTGTGGGATATTTTCTTGGTACACTTTGTAATGTAATGTAATGTGTATTTATATAGCGCATTTATTGTGTATGGCCATACACCCAAAGCGCTTCACAATCATGAGGGGGGTTTCTCCACATCACCACCAGTGTGTAGCATCCACTTGGATGATGCAACGGCAGCCACAGGACAATGGCGCCAGTGCGCTCACCACACACCAGATATTGGTGGAGTAGAGGGACAGTGATCGAGCCAATTCGGTGGAAGGGGATGATTGGGAGGCCATGATCATATGGGCCACTAGAGGGACTTTGGCCAGGACACCGGTGTTACACCCCTGCTCTTTCACGAGAAGTGCCATGGGATTTTTAGTGACCACAGAGAGTCAGGACCTCGGTTTAACGTCTCATCCGAAAGACGGCGCCCACTGACAGTGTAGTGTCCCCTTCACTTTTACTGGGGCATTAGGACTCACATAGACCTCAGGTTGAGCGCCCCCTGCTGGCCTCACTAACACCACTTCCAACAGCAACCTGGTGTTCCCTAGTGGTCTCCCATCCAGGTACTAACCAGGCTCAGCCCTACTTAGCTTCAGTGAGTAACCGGTCTTTGGCTGCAGGGTGATATGGCTGTGGCATTTGACTTTGGGGTTATTAGTACCAAATGAGCATCATGTCAATGCTACAGCCTACCTGAGAATTGTTGCTGACCATGTCCATGCCTTTATGACCACAGAGAACACATTTTCTGATGGCTACTTCCAGCAGTATAACACGTCATGTCATAAAGTGTAAATCATCTCAGACTAGTTTTTTGAAAATGACAATGAGTTCACTGTACTCAAATGGCCTCCACAGTCACCAGACTCAATCCAATAGAGCCCCTATTGGGATGTGGTGGAATGGGTGATTCGCATCATGGATGTGCAGCCGACAAATCTGCAGTAACTGTGTTATGCTATCATGGTAATATGGACCAAAACCTCTGAGGAATATTTCCAGTACCTTGTTGAATATATGCTGTGAAGGATTAAGGCACTTCTGAAGGCAAAGGGGGGTCCAACACGGCACGGTGTACCTAATAAAGTGGCCGGTGATTGTATTAGTAGTACCTGTTAAACGAGCACCATGACAGCAAAAATTCATAAATAATTTTCCTTAAGAAATTATTTTTGTCTTCAAATTGAACTGAGATATATTTTAGTTTTAGACCAATAGCACATAAAACCAGTTCTGCAATTCACAGGGAACATTTTGTGTGTTGTATCTCAACAGGTGGAGACTATTGGTGATGCGTACATGGTGGCATCAGGAGTTCCCAATCGCAATGGTACCCGCCACGCTGCAGAGATGGCCAACATGTCCCTGGACATTCTCCACTGCATCGGTACATTTAAAATGAGGCACATGCCTGACGTCAAAGTCAAAATTCGCATTGGACTACATTCTGGTGAGAAAAGCAACAGTTCTATTTCACTATGTGCTCAAATCTGAATTTTCAGCACTGTTACTCCAGTTTTTGGTGTCACATGACCAACCCATGGCATGCTAATGGTCTAATCTGATTCAATGATCTATGCTAACCTAAGCTAAAAGTGCTCTTGGCATACTCAGAAATCAGCTAAATGAATTCAAAAAGGTTAAACTCCACTCTTAACTGTAGTGGAATGATAAAATGACCCCATTTCCAAAAAGATGTTCCTTAAATTTAAATTTCATTATTTAAATCCATTATCAAACAAACCATTTCCTTTTTGTATGGGATTTTCACTGACAAAAACGGCCCGGTCTTACATCAACGCACTGAACATAGTGCTAAATGTAAATGCGTATTTACACTTGATCCTCTGATAGCGGTGTATTCCTAGAACAAGTGAAATGTAAATCCCAGGCATAATCCAATTAACAGATTCATCCAATTAGTAAGCACAGTGTCGCCTCTGTCCCCCTTCCCACAATTCAACTCATGCTGTTCTCCACACAAGTGAAAAGTCAACCTCATTCTCATGTGTGTGTTACAGGTCCAGTGGTCGCAGGTGTAGTTGGCTTAAAGATGCCTCGATACTGTCTGTTCGGGGACACAGTAAACACAGCCTCCCGAATGGAATCCACAGGGTTGCGTGAGTAACACCGACTAACGTTTCGTGTTGAATATGTATGAGCACGTGCACAAGTCAGATAGTAACCGTGTCAGCGATTGTAAACGTCTCTGAAGTCGTGATTCCTGGAATTTGTCTTTGCTAAGGATCAGTTTGAAGACTCAGTAGTTGTGCATGTGTGTGTGCTGATCAGCGAGTGCATGTCAGTGAGAAGCTCAGAGGGCTTAAAGTGCAGAGTTCCTAGTAAGCTTTTAAGAGTATAAGCCAAATTAGAAAGAAAATTCTGCTTTAAAGCTAATGTCCTCTTAGGACTCAGCCTCCGCTATCACCCTGAACTGTCTCACCTTTAATCAGACCTTCTTCCATATTTAGCCCAGAAAGGTTACTTGGTGTTTCGTGCTGAAGAAGAAAGTTTGAAACATGATAAAAGGTTTGCTATTGACTTTAAAAAAGTATGTACAGTAAATTGAGTGGCAAGGATGCATTTGAGTTTTCAAAAGTGACAGTAAAGACATTTTAAAATCGATAAAGTTTTCATCTCTTCTTGAAAATGCAGTTCTTTTTAATATTATATTAGTTAATAAATTCTTAATAAAATATTTAAATGTTTCCAGCTCAACAGTTTCAACGTTGACATAATAAATTGATAGTCATAAATGAGCAGCAAATTAACACATTTGAATGATTTCTGATTGATTTAATGACACTGAGTTATTTTAAATTGTGAAACCATTTCACAAATAAAAATACACCAATAGAAAACATTGCAGCTGCAAATGTGTCAATCGCATAGATCAGGGGTGCCCAAACTTTTTCTTATAAAGGGCCAAAAGCCAAACTTAATTGAGGGATGATGTGGGCTAAATATATACCAAACTGAATATATCACATGGTATAACATTAACTTGACATTGGTTATATTTAAATTTATTCAGTATTATTTAAAAATAACTAGAAAACTTGCTTTTAATCATATTAATTAATGGAGTATAATTTTTAACATTTTATGATAAACATATTATTACAGTAACAACTCATCTCATTTATACCGCAATGGAAACACTGCTGAAAACACTAGTTGACCTGTGCCTTCCTTTGCCTTGATTTGCTCTCCAATGTCGTGTACATCAATTTTTGTCAAGAGACTGTATTTACATAATAAAGTCTGCTTCATTTACAAAATGTAATTAAAACATTAAATCTCAGTTGACTTTTTTGTAAATCATCAATAAAACAAAGAAACAAAGGGTTACGTTCATTCACCCCAACCTCATGCCCATCATTCTCCCTCTCTTTTCAGATGGGATAGTGGGTCAAATCAAAGGTTACTGGCCCTACTTTGGGCATCTCTGGCATAGATAATCTCCTTGACTTGGTTTGGTTTGTTTGTGTTGGATAATTGAAGATTTCGACAAACATAATAAAATAATTAGTGCCTAATTATACCAGATTAGATCTTACAAGCAAGCAAAGAAAACCTACATCTAGAGTTTGTTTACAGAGCAGAACATTTTCAAAAATCCTAACCCTAATCCTAAATAAAAGATTTAAGATATTTTCATAGGTCTCAAATCTCGTGCTGTCTAATTACATTTTGTGGATGAAATGGTTAAAGCAGTTGGGCAGATTATCTACAGTAAGTGACAGAAAGTCGTGAAGGATGTGGTGGAGTTTAGAGCGAACTGTCCAGTCCGTTTAGGACAACGCTGCCATCTAGCGTTTTCTCAGGAAACACCATTACTTTAAAGCAGGTGTGCCCAAACTCTTTCTTATGAAGGACCAAAAACCAAACTGGATTCAGGGTGTGAATATCAAATGTAAATATAAAAAACTATTACATTAAAGCTGCCTTAGTAATTTTTTATTAATATTATAAAAAATACTTTAATCATTCATTCATTCATTTTCTTGTCGGCTTTGTCCCTTTATTATTCTGGGGTCGCCACAGCCGATTGAACCGCCAACTTATCCAGCAAGTTTTTACGCAGCGGATGCCTTTCCAGCCGCAACCCATCTCTGGGAAACATTCACATGATACACTCATTCACACACACACTCATACACTGCAGACAATTTAGCCTACCCATTTACCTGTACCGCATGTTTTTGGACTGTGGGGGAAACCGGAGCACCCGGAGGAAACCCACGCGAACGCAGGAAGAACATGCAAACTCCACACAGAAACGCCAACTGAGCGACGTTCTTGCTGTGAGGCGAACGTGCTACCCACTGCGCCACTGCGTCGCCCATACTTCAATCATATTGATAATAATTATTATTTTTTTTTATATTTTTAATGAACTTCTTATAATAAAAACATAAGCAAACACATTTATAACACAATGGTGTTCAATGCTAAAAACATGAGTCAAGCTGAACCTGCCTTTGTCTTGATTCGCACATCAATGTCTTGTGTATTGTCTTTTATCTTTGAGTGACAGTATTTACATTTTTTAAAATCTGATTCATGCACAACAATTAATTGAAACCTTTCATTTCAGTTGACTTTTTTTGTAGTTCAACAATTAAACAAACAAACCAACAAACAAAAGGTTACGTTAAATAAGAAATGATGATCTCTGTTGAAGGCATTTGCCCCAGCCCTCATTCTAAAGTTTTTCTCACATGGGATGGTGGGCCAAATCAAAGGTTACCATAGGCCAACTTTGGTCATCTCTGCTTTAAAGTGTATTTCTGCAACACACGTTCATGATTTCTGTTTGAGATCCCCCGTATGTGCAGATGTTTTCTGTTAATTTGTGTTTTCCCTGTTTCTACAGCTTACAGAATTCATGTCAACCAGAGTACAGTTGATGTCCTAAACAGTCTCAAACTTGGCTACAAAATAGATACTCGGGGCAGGACCGAGCTCAAGGTATGAAAACACACACACGCGCTGACGTGTTTCTTCAGTTCAGGCTCTTTTACCTTCAGAGAAATTATTTGGATTGAAATGACTATACCTATAACTGTGATCTAAACAGAAAGTACAATAACTAATTCAATATTTGTTGAGAGAAAATTATTATATCATAATCACATCACATGATTATATAACTTACATCTGTTCCAATGTTCTGCCATCATCTCAGTCACATTTTTTTCTTCTTAAAGGGATAGTTCACCCCAAACTGAAAATTAGGTCATCATTTGCTCATCCTTCAATTGCTCCAAATCTGTTTGATATCTTTATTATGTTGAACACAACTGAAGAAAGCAGAAAATCGCGAAAATTGTACTTTTCCTACAATGGTCAATGGTTACCGGTTTCCAACATTCTTTAAAATATCTTCTTTTGTTTCCGACAAAGAAAAAGAGAAAAACACATATTTGACACAATTTGAGGGTGAGTAAACAGCAAACAAATATTCATTTTAGGGTGAAATATCACTCCTAAGTTGTACTTAGTATATAAGTAAAGCATATATAAATATAAGTTATATATTAATCACACTTCAGAACTGTGCAGTACGAGATATATGGGGAGAAATATGTGAAATACATGTGGGCAAATACCACATAAATGCTAATGAAATAAAATGAAAAAAAATCAATGCAATGGTTGATCAATAACATACAATCTCTTTCATTTGGTTAACTAGTGTTGTCCATTTTTAGTTTTCTAAAAGAATAATAAAACAGTTATTAGTGCTTTGTAATACAGGAAGGCTTGTATCTTACAAGTCAACACAGAAAATCCCAACTACTCAGGGCTGTAATGTACTAAATGTTTCTCCTTTGCATTTTGAAATGTGTCAAGTACAGGCAACAACACTGTCAAAACACTCTTACGAATTGGCTAAAAATGCTGTATTATGCATCCGGTCAGTATCTTAAACAGCAAACAGTCCACTGGCCTGTTGCTTGAATCCAACTGAGCGAACTCCCGTTTACAGAGTAGGTTTAAAATTTACAAAACCAAACAAACCCACATTGGTTAAGACTGTTAGGTTCAGTGGTTTCACAATGCTTTGATATAAACGTCCTCTCTTATCTCAGGGTTCAATCCAGAGTTTATTATTAACTCTGGACCAACTGAAAGTGTGATGCCTGCAGCTTACAGACAAACTTAGAAAACATAGAGAGTCAGTTTGATTCATTTCTCACACTTCACATCTCTGTTGAAGAGAACAGATATTGATATGTTGATATATAATATCACTGTAAACTGATTTAATATGGCTTTTATGGGTGACTTTACTGCAAATAAAGAACTGAGCATTTGAAGTGGGTCCAAACCTTTCATGAAAGTTGTCCTAAAACTATTAAACACACATTCTTGTCTTAGGACAATTTTGAAAAATTATTTTGATCCACTTCAAATGTTGATTACTGTACACTGTATATACTGTATACTACTGTATGCTTTATATAGGGGTGGGGTAAAATATTGACACAGTACAGTATCATGATATTTTCCATGACTATATTGGACAGATATACGGAAGTTTACATCAATATAACAGCAATTCTTTATTATATTATTTGTATAAACAATTTGTGTAGTGTTTTTATTATGATAATTTTACTATATTATTTGTACTTATTTATTATACTATTTACTATAAAATCCAAGTCCACTAGATGGTGGTGTTGAACTTGATTTTTATTTTTCTGAAGAGCTGGGTCACCTTCAGCATGCAGTAAAGTTAGTCAAATAATGAAAATGCAGCATCTCAGAAAGATGCATACTACATTTATGACAGATTTTTATGATAGTGACAAACAGTTTTTCTGCTTGATAATCCCATTTATCCAGCAGCAATAAAAAAGAACTGATGTTTCTGTTTAGTTAAAACAGACATTACTGAAAGATCTCATTTTAAGTATACAAAAAAAGTATATGATGTTGGAGAATACTGAAATATATTCAAAATCGCAACAACAATGCATCGTGACATTGACACCCCTAATATATATATATACCTTAAAGTGGGAGGGACTTAAACCACAAGTCGGTTGGGTTTAGGTGGTGTAGGTGGAGCAGATATTAATAAAGCACATCAGGTTACTGTGAGGTTGGGTTTAGGTTTGGTGTAGGTGTAGACATTCACAAAGCACATTATTGGACTCTGTGTCATGTACAAGACATTAAATAAATAAAAAAATTAGATTTGTACAGCCAACTTGGAGCTTGAAGGCTCTCCCATTCGGAGATGGCTCTAACCTTCGTTATACCCTTCTCATTTAGTCTGTGTCTGTTGTTTATGTTAACTAGTATTTGAAACAGAAATGTGCGCACATCTTAGAAGGCTCAAAGGCAGGTGCTCGATCATAAATAAACACAGTAGCAAAATATCAAAAGAAAATTGGCACACTGGCACTTTAGCGCTCACATTTTTAAAAATATTGAAACGCTTCGACCTGATGAAGACCATGTAGGTCGAAATGTTGTGATATTATAAAAAAATTTGAGAGCTAAAGTGTCAATCTGCTGATTTTCTTTTAATCTTTTGACAAGTATTTGCACAAATATTTAAATGGAAAACATGATGCATATTATTACACACTAAAACCTTTTTTATTAAATCACATGTTTACACTAACATAAAAGCCAATCAGTCACAAACCTGCAATTTAAAAGCTGTTTTTTGAGTTTTACTCCCACAAAACATTTTCCAACTCAAAAGAAGTTAAAATGGTGTTGGGTAAACACCTCATAAATATGATCAATCCAAATACTGCAAATAGCAAACTGCAAAAGCTAAAGCAAAAACTACTCAGTTGGCTAATTATTCAATCAAGCAACCACACCCTTTAGTCTGGTTTAGTCTGGACCTCTTGAGTGTGTTCTCAGAGGTCCAGACTAGCACAAAGCCACTTGGATCAGATTTGTGAGTGGTTGTTGCTAGAAACGAGAATTATTTATAATAATTATTAAATTACCCATGACATTGTGTGTTATTAACATCTACCTCTACTCCAAACCTAAACCCAGCTGTCACAGTAGCATAGGTGTGTTACTGTAATGGTGTCCACTAAGTATTTGATCAGTATTTGATTTGACCAGATCCTGTACATCATCATGCTACAGACTGCAGCAAGGACAACATGGCATTTTTAGCAAAACTAGAGTAAAATGTATGTTTTAAGGGTACTTTAACACAACAATGATTTCATCAAAAAAGGGTCAACTTTTGTGTTTTGTCCGTTCATATGCACAATTTCAATGTAGGTGATCTGATACTCTTGTCAATCTATTGAAAATGTTACATCCAAAGATGTTACAAACAAGCAAGAGCAGAGTGCTGTATTTCTTTAGTGATTTTAGCAGATAGCCTGTTGTGTAATTCAGCATTTTAGTCATTTCTGGGTGTCTGTGTGAACAAGGTTTGTTATGACAACATTGTGACCCATATGAGAAACATTTCAAAAATGCTAAATATTTTTTTCACTAAAAGTTAAGTGAACATACCCACAGAGAGTTCTTTTTTTTACAACTGTGAAGCAAAGTGTCAAACAAAGTTACTTTTAAAGCTTATTGCAATCTTAATCTTTTCAAATAAGAAGCAAAAATTATACTTTCCTTGTAACAAAACACTTTAAACAAATGTTAGTCACATAATATGAACCTTTTGTTATGTGCACTTAAGTCGCTGATGCTGTTTTGCAGTTTCAAAATACACCACATTTCAGAATGTGTGTATAAAAAAGCCTTTTCTTTAATGCACTGATGTTGTGCAGTTTCAAAATATACGAAAAGAACATATCTGAAATTAGAAGTACCCTATGAGATGTCACAATGCACTGATCTTGGTATGACTTGGTAAATATCTACTTAGGTGTTTTATGATACAAACATACTGTATAGGACATACAAAGTTAAACAGTTTAAAACAGGTTTATTGGTCAGTTGCACAGTATTCTGACCACTGCTGCTGACAAACACATTGACGTACAAATAAATCAATGAAGAATCTAGTTTTGGACAGAGTAGATCAATTGTAAGGTTAATTAATAAGAATCTTTTTGCTTAAGCCAAAATGTTCATTGACTAAAACTATGATTTAGAAGACTAAAATATGACATGGCATTTTTTCTGTGCCAATATTAATTGTCGCTCTGATTAATTTGTAACATTTTATAAAGTTTTTTTTTTTTTTTTAATGTACTTTGCCTGTACATTTTTTATATGTGTATACAGGATGTGAGTGTGTGTATGTGTGATTTGATTGACAAACTGACAAAACATGTTCTTATTAAATGACAACTTATTTACATTATGGGATGTTTTTCTTATAAGTTGTGTACATTTTAAGACTTTTTATTTAAAAAAACACACAAATGTTATACACATACTGTTTACAATATGGAATGCAAAAACTTTGAAGCTCAATGTCTCACAATCATTCTAAGCGCAGATAGAACCTTATAATTCTAAGGGGACGAAATGCCAAACTTTGCTACAAACAAATCTACCCACATGTACCAATAAATTAACTGAACTGAATTGATGGCATTTTATGTCAAAAGACTAAAACTAAATTAAAATTTGTTGGCACAATTGACTCCGCCTTAAAAAGTAACTAAGTATATGTAGTTACTTTATTTGAAAAAAAAAATATTAAGATTGTAATCTAGTACTTTTAAAAGTAACTTTACCCAAAACTGAAAGCAAACACCCTGGAAAGACACACTAGACTACACAGTACAATGCTTTTGAAAATCCTATGAGCTCCTGTCTTTTTCTTAAAGGGTAAAGGTGTAGAAGAAACATTTTGGTTGGTTGGGAGGGATGGATTTGACAAGCCGTTACCTATACCGCCAGACCTTACTCCTGGGTGAGAACTTCATTTACATTTGATCATGTGTATATTGTAAGCAGTAATCCTCTCTGTGTGATGTGTTGACAAATTGCTTTATGTCGTCACAAAGGGCGAGCAACCATGGTATCAGCTTGGATGAGATCCCGACTGATAGGCGACAGAAATTCTTGGATCGACAGAAGAGGATGGGCAATTGAGGTAGAAAACAGAAACATTTCAGTGACTTCATCCACATTTTATCTTGACTTGTTAATTCTGGCAACATAAAGGGATAGTTCACCCAAAAATTCTAGAACAAGGAAGAAGATTTTTAGCTGAAATAGTGGCCCATGATGATTTATAGCATGCTAATAAGCCACTGGCATGTTGAGAATAAATAAATTATATACAAAACCGTTGACAAAATATTGAGGAAGCAAAATTTTCTTCTATGCCAGTGGTTCTCAAGTGGTTTTGCCATGACCCACACATTTTCCACATTCAACTCAAGCACCACCTTAATCTTATTGACACACACATGAATATTAAATTGTTTTTTTGATACAATAAAATAAACAGACAAAAAAAAAAACCAAATTTTATTAAAAAAAATTAATGTTATGAGCCACATAGTCAAAATGAAGGTGCATGCTGGTAATTTTCCTCCCAATTCATAATGAAGTGACGCGCTGTGTGTGTGCTGCCGCATCTGTGTGTGCAGTTGAGGAGTGCGCTGTGAGCAAAGAATAACAGCTGACAGGTCAGGAAAGTTAATTCTCCAGCACTGTGTGTGCCGCCTCTCTGCCGCCAGTGAAATCACTCTGTTTTCCGCATCTCTCCCACTGAAAATGAACCAGACCCTTGCGAATGTTACGTCCCGTCTGAAATGGCCTTTAAGGGAACATGTCTTTCTCGCGTACATGAATCACATCTGACAAGAAACATCACTGGCTTTCAGACACATCTGTCAAAATCTAAATTTAAAACCCACTCAGCGACCCATAATGCTTCTGCAACCCACTATTGGGTCATGACCAACAAGTTGAGAAACACTGATCTATGCAAAAGAACATTTTTATAACACTATTACTTTTATTTCACTGCTTCGGCACGACAGTCTGGAGCTTTCTGTTAAATTATGATGTATAAACAGACACAAATGCACACATAAGCTGATGCTGGAGATGCATATATATATATATATATATATATATATATATATATATATATATATATATATATATATATATATATATATTATATATAACTTTATCTCTTTTAGTAAGGATTATTACATCTGTTTCTGTTATGCTTAATAGCAAAATAATGAGAGTTATTTTTTGAGAAATTTTGAGAGAATTCAAGTTTACATACAATAGGATTTTTATGCCTCTGAAAAAGCTCAGATGATGGTGTCAAGGTTGCGGAAGTTTCTGATTGGCTATTTGACAACATTTGAGTTAATTGGAGGCACAACTGTAGAAAAGTATTTAAGGAAAACCTCAAACACACTGCTTCTTCGTGTGGCAACATGGGAAAATCAACAAGCCAGAATCAACAAAAAAGACAGATTACAATTTGCTCAATTACACTGGGAAAAAGAATCATTTTTGGAGAAAACGTCCTGTGGTCTGATGGAGCTAAGATTAAACTGCTTGGCCATAATGACCAGTGTTACATTTAGAGGACAAAGGGGAAAGCTTACAAGCCTAGGAACACCATCCCAACTGTGAAGGATGGGGGCGGCAGCATCATGTTGTGGGGCTGTTTTGTTGCAGGAGGGACTGGTCTACTTCACAGCATAGATGGCATCATGAAGAAAGAACATTATGTAGAAATACTGAACCAACATCTCAAGACATCAGCTAGGAAATTAAAACTTGGCGACAAATGGGTCTTCCAAACGGACCATGACCATAAGCATACTGAACATTTTGTTTAAATGTGCTTTAAGGACAACACAGTGAATGGTTTGGAGTGGCCAACACAAAGCCCTGATCTCAATCCTATAGAAAATTTGTGGGCTGAGTTGAAACAGCTTGTGCGAGTAAGACAGCCTACAAATCTGACTCAGTTACACCAATTCTGTCAGGAGGAATGGGCCAAAATTCCTTCAAACTATTGTGAGAAGCTTGTGGAAGAATACCCAAAACATCTGAAGTTATAAAGTTTAAAAGCAAAGCTAAAAATGGAAAAGTACAAAACAAGGAAATTTATGTAAACTTTTGACTGTCTAAAAATTAATAAAAAAGTCTAAAAAAAAAAAAGACTCTCATTATTCTGGCATTTAGCAAATTTGAATGATTTATGTAATCCTAACGGACCTAAAATAGTAAACGTTTAGTATGATTTACCATCAGACATTTTTTTAAATGGTTATGTTTTATTTCTAGTGTAAACTTCTGGTTTCAACTGTATATATATACACATCGTGTCTCAAATAAAACCAAGCAAAATTGTTTCTGTCAGAATTTCATTAAATTACCTCCAACTTTATTATATTTTGTAATTATATGGCAAATAGATGAAATTACAAAATATGTTTACGTTTTTAGTGGCACAATGGGTCGCAAACATGCTGGATAAGTTGGTGGTTCATTCCGTGGTGGCGACCCTTGATGAATAAAGGGACTAAGCCAAAAAGACAAATCATAAATGAATGTATACGTTTTCCACCTCACCTAATTTATATCACTCGTTACCTTTTTCTTCTTAGTCTTCTTGGCTCAGTGTCATGTCTTTGACAGTGGTGATATTTTCAACAGTACAGGCAGTGCGTGGTCGACCACTCCCCGCCACACAACATACTGATTCATTCGGAAACACCATTTTTATTGAAGCTTTACGCAGCTAAAAACAAATACGTCATCATTTCATTATCATTACGTCATCGTCAAGGAAAGTAAATAAAAGGATTATTCTAATGCACATATTGCGTTGTTATTCCTTTACAAAATGTAGTCATTCTTATTCCTGTAGTCTTATTTTTGTATGATTAGTATTGCTTGTTTTTTTGAGACATAGTATCTAATAGGGTTGGGCGATATTGCAAAAAAAATTTATTACACTATATCATGTTTTATATCATTCTGTTTTGATAATTATTGAAAAAAATTTTAACAATACATTTAGAAATATTAGGATTTTTTAAACCCCTTTATTATAATTTATTAACATTACTAAAACAGTCAAAAACTAAAATATTTAAACAAAATATCTGATTTCTTTATAATAAACTTCAGTGTCAAAGAGACTCTTAGACTTTATGAATAAAATGTTATGGAATGGTAAAGTGTAAATGATGAACAATCAAAGCAAACATTAAGATGTGAATAATAATGATACAGTAAACTTCAAACTCTGTAAATAGAATGAATTATGATAATCAAATCTGAGCTTTCAAGTAAAGGAACAAACCATCATTATTCAAATACATACTGCAACATTGCAAATTTTGAAGTTGATTGACTACATTACTCCCTATGCTAAAAACTCTCAGATGGGGTGCTAGTGGCTGAGATGCACAAGAAAAGAAACCAAAAAGCCACTCTGGCGACATCTTCACACCTTATTATTTACAATCTCACTGCTGCTAGCCACAGCACTCATTTCCACATGTGTTGTTATTCTGACCTGAAATGACAAGCGCTTGCACGTGGTTTCCTTCACCACTTTTTATGGCGTCTCTCATAACTATCAACCATTTCCTCAAAGGATGACAAATGGACAAACCATTGCTGCAGCTCCGATACAAGTTTATGGAGAAAAGTAAAAAGCACTGCAGTGTTTGGGTGTGCTGTGTTTGTCTGAGGTAATTAGTCTACCGTTACTAAAATGTATATATTCCAAACAACATGTGAAGCAGATTGGTTAGTTCTACTTACAAGAATCGTGTTGCTCTCACGGCATTCTGAAAAGTTCCAATGTTTTCAACTAGATGTTCCTGGAAATGCGCGAGCATAACTCAATTGGAAATTACTTACTTACACCCTACGTTTTATTATCATTGTTTCTAAGGCACGCGCTCAGCAGCCACATTTTAATAAAACTATATCGGTTCATACAATTTTTTATCGATATTGACAATGGTGTTCGGTCAGTAAATACAGATACTGATTTTATCGGCCAGCCCTAGTTTATATATATATATATATATATATATATATATATATATATATATATATATACATACATAAATATATATTGTTGAAGTCTGACAGTTGAAGTCAGAATTATTAGCCCTCTTTTGATTTTTTTTTCTCTTTTAAATATTTCCCAAATGATTTTTAACAGAGCAAGGAAATTTTCACAGTATGTCTGATAATATTTTTTCTTCTAGAGAAAGTCTTATTTCGATAATCTACAGAACAAATCACTGTTATACAATAACTTAACCTAACCTTATGGCCTAATTACCCTAACCTGCCTAGTTCACCTTATTAACCTAGTTAAGCCTTTGAATGTCACTTTAAGCTGTATAGAAGTGTCTTGAAAAATATCTAGTCAAATATTATTTACTTTCATCATGGCAAAGATAAAATAAATCAGTTATTAGAAATGAGTTAGTAAAACTATTATGATTAGAAATGTCCTGAAACAATCTTCCCTGTTAAACAGAAATTGGGGAAAAAAAATAAACAGGGGCCCTAATAATTCAGGGGGGCTAATAATTCTGACTTCAACTGTATATATATATATATATATATATAGGGGTTGCCACAGCGGAATGAAGCACAAACTTATCCAGCATATGTTTTACCCAGCGGATGCCCTTCCAGCCACAACCTAACACTGGGAAACACCCATACACACAAACACGGGAAGAACATGCAAACTCCTAAAAGAAGTACTAACTGACCCAGCCGGGGCTCAAACCAGCGACCTTCTTGCTATGAGATGATCTTGCTACCCATTGCGCCACCGTGACACCCCTATATATATATATATATATATATATATATATATATATATATATATATATATATATATATATATATATATATATTTTTTTTTTTTTTTTTTTTTTTTTTTTTTTTGCTTTTTGATCAAGGCACAGTAGCACATGTAAGGAAAGACAAAAAACTGTACTAAATAGGAGAAAATTCTGGATGTTTTCACATTTTTATATGTTGCAGCATCCAGTCTAAACAAAATTTCAATGAACAATATAACAAACATTTCCCAGAGATGGGTTGCAGCTGGAAGGGCATTCGCTGCGTAAAAACCTACTGGATAAGTTGGCGGTTCATTCCACTGTGGAGACCCTGGATTAATAAAGGGACTAAGGCGAAAAGAAAATGAATGAAAGAATGAATGATTGAATGAATGAATGAATGAATACAACAAACAGTATCAGCTCATGTGTGAGTTTACATCAGCGCATATACAAAATTGGGTGACAGGAAGCTTTCTGTCCAGAATGTTGTTAGACAGGAGCCACAGGAATCAATTCTGTTTTGCCTGTAAATGTTTTTTTTTTACTCTCAAAGTGCCTGTAGCTGTAGACTTGCATTTTAATAAACAGCATGGACCACAATTTCTCCTAAACAAAATGTCTCTGATGTTGTAGTGAAGAAATGCATTCAGATATACCGCAAATGTTCATTTCTAGGTGAACCGTCCCTTTAAGGTTGTTAAAACTTTTGTACTCATGCTGTTCTGTTTCTGTGCCTTCCAATAGGTTGTGATGCTCATGTTTCTGCACCAGCCTATCGAGTTAGGAGAAAGTGGGGCAAGGGGATGAAAAGGGTGAATTGAGGTGTTCAAAAACCCCTCGGCTACCCTTTTTCTACTTAAATACATTCCCGAAAAAGAATGGAAAGCCCCACTAGGACATCTGACAAGAACACAAACATATGAACTCTGAACGCCAGCCTGTCAAACCCACCGGCTCAACAAGACGCCATGTACCAACTGCTATGGATGGATACAGAGGACTCTTTGACATTTGTAAAGAGTTTATAATGCAGGTTTATTCCACTAAATTAAAGACACTGCTGAGATAATCGCTCATCGAGAGAGAGAATGAGAACAGCAGCACACGGCTGATTCATCTCTGCAGTTCTACGAAGATATGTTTTCTAAATTACTTTGTTGTTTATAAAACAAAAGAAAAAAGGAAAATTGACACGCTCGTTTCTAACGGCAGCAGATCAATTTAGTTCATCAGAAATAACGCCAATGATATCCGTGTATTGAAATTATTTAAAATACCGTGTTGATTTTGTTTGCTAGGAGTATCAGGCTTTAATAACTAGGTGTTAGTTCAGACAAGAGCTTCTTCACATTCTTCACATTTTCGTTTCGAACTGTTTGGCCTTCATAGGAAATGACATGCATTCAGAGCAGTTTTCATGGCCAAGCAAACCCGGGGTCACATGACAGACAATTACTCGCTTTCAGGCGAGTAGCTCAACTCCATTGTCCTCTTTGAGTTAAAGGTAAGAGATACTTTAAAAAGGAAAATCGTGAGCTGAAACTGAAATGGTCAGGTTTATAATGGCACGCTGCATTATCCTGATACTCGGCACATTCCATGCATAATATCCTGATGTCAAAGTCCTGAAATATAACCAAAGAGAAGCGCATATCAGCAAGTTCTCCAAAGATTTTCTCTGTGCAATTTTGCCTGCTCATACAGTCTGTAAATATATTCACCCCCATAGAAAGGGGCATTATTTGACCATTATTTGGGGATTTTTAAAACGTGTGGTTTGGATATCTTCAATTCAGATACGAGGTTGTGGCACCTGTGGATGACGCTGTCACCTGATACCTAAACCACAATCTTGGGAGCTACTGTCTTGGCAGAATGTAGCTAATTTTCAATTGTAAAACTCACCATTTTATCTTGTTGTCTGTGATTGTGTAAATAAAAGCTGATTTTAGGGAGTGTGCAGATTCTTTCTTAGTGTTTAGTGGATAGATGTGCTTATTTAGTGTCATGATGTCATCTATATTCAAAGCAAAAGGTTTATTTATTCACTTCAAATGTTCAAATGATACAAGACGCATAAGTATTGCTAGTTCCAGAGCTTAATAAGCATTAACAAAAGGGTCAAGTGATTTGTTTGTTTGTTTGGACAGTTTTAGATAAGGTAAAAACACACAAAAAAGTATTGGGATATATTTCTCCCACCACACTGAGGAAGACTAACAGGTATACTGAGGATGCCAACACACAAGGGACAAAAAATCTTTGTGTTCATTCTGGCATAATGTTTGTGTTATTATTATTATTATTACTATGTTATAAATCAGTTGTACATCCGTTTGATGATAAAGAAGGAGGGATATCTGTGTTTTGTGTGCGTATGTCAGGGTTAATATGACTGATTGATAAAGAAGCGCGGAGGATTGGGTGTCAACTCGCGCTCGGGTGACTCGAGTAAACGGAGTCTGAGCTGAATTATAATTCGCCTAGAACTAGGACATGGTGGCTCCGCCCATTTATCAAAAAGCCCCACGTTGATTGGACGAAGATACGCGAGTGAGGCGGAGTTAATGGGTGTGTCGTGAAGCGTGACCAAACTATGATTGGCTTTCGTCTCTCTCTATCAGAATCCAAATAGCGGCTCCTAGAGCCAAACCACATTTTACACATTAAGGAGCTGTCTGTGGTAAAGTGTCGCTGATACTAACACAGGATAATTCATACCGTGCCAACGTTGTTTTTAAATTGAAGACAAGCTCCTTCAAGAAACCAAACGCCTTATTTGACCATAGGAATAGTTTGCTTATGGTTTATTCCCAATTATGTGCAGCCGATAAAGCTCTTTCTTCTTTAAAAAGACGAACACAATTTCGGCTAAATCGACGGAGAACTCACTTGACATGCACTTCACGGACTTCCACGGACTACTACTGTAACACAAGGTAAACCTCCTCAAATATGACATGTGTAAATCATGTTTGGCAGATTTAAATGTGTTGATCATACCTGACATCTGTTCATGTCATAATGGTTGTTGTTTACTTTATATAATTTTTTTTAAACAGCAGTTGTGTGAACAGGCATGTTGTATTCTATTGTGCTGCTGTCCACGACAGGTGTACTGTGCCTTTATAAGCTGTCGTCGTATTAAAATGTCCATGTTTCTGTATTAGCTCGCTCGGCACGCGCGCGTTTCTCTTCGGCTCGCGCTTGGCTCTGCTGTCACGCGCGTCAAAGCTGCGTCTGTCCGCGGCGCATCTCCTGCTCGCAGCGTTCAGGCTTTCGGCTTCAAACTGCGCGAACCGCCGCTCTTCCCCAACCCCCGTTCAGCGCTCCGGCAGCGAGGCGGGGCCAGCCCAAATAAATGTGGGGAGGGGAAAAACGAAGACAACAAACCTTAAAAATGTAGGCCACGGCGCGTGACCCAGTTCCTCGCGAACAACACAGCGAGTGTGAATGTGGAGCACGGTTATTATCCCCCACGCCCGGCACGGTTCCAGGGCGGCTTCAACTGTGTGAGTGTGTGTGTTTGTGTGTTTTTCTCTCTGTGCCAGCCAATGTTCAGGGGCTTTTACAAATATCAAAGAGGAGAAATAAATGCTACATTTACCCAGTTTGCTAACTAAAATTGTAACTATGTGTCAAAAAGTTAGCAAGGATTTTTAACATGTTTTTGCACAATGGTACTTTGACACTAGACAAGTAGTTTGTGTGTATATATAAAGTATCTCTAATATATTATGTTAATAATATATTAATACTTTATATTTTGTCAATTTTTTTATGCAAATTCAATAGAATTTTATTTAATTTATATCAATAAATTAAAAATTTCCCCTGCTAAAACCTGCAGTTAGCCCTTTAAGTTATTTTATCACATTATTATAGTATATAACAAAGTATTATTATGTATATTATTACCATTATTGTTGTTATTATTATTATGTTTTACATAAATAAAACTTAGGGTGTGGTTGTGAAATACTGATCCTAGATCAGAAACAAAACTTCAACATACACAGTGGCTACATACAAAAACATAACGTTTCATACTAAATAAGCAAAAACAGATTGTGACTTTAAAAAAAATATTAAATCGAAAAGTGGGAAAACTACAGTCTCAAGATGGCAGATGTAGTTCCGATTACATTTAAATGAATCCTATATTCTAGTCTTCAAAATAAGTACCTTCTCAAGAGAATATGCAATTTCGGATGCAGCCATAGACATTAGTATGGGCTGAGCATGTGGTAAAGCACATCTCTGTTCACCTGTTGATTTCACAGAGGGAGAGTGTCAGTTTCAATAGTGTGTGTTATAATCTGAGGTAAGGGGTGGGCTGGGCTGCTTTTGTGTGGCCATATTGGGTGTTCTTGGTCTTGACCATGGTTGAATGCAAAAAGAGAAGATTGTAGCCTTGTGTGTGACAGATATTTTGTTTTGGGCCCCCAAGAGAAGGCGATCAGTCTGAAGCTGACCTACTTTTCTCTTTTACTCCATACCTGCAGAGCTATTTATACCCATGGCACAGGGCTACAGGAGCAACTCAGACCATCTCTCCCTTCGCAAACACACACATCGACACGTCCTCCTGCTATTTCACTGTTTTTTTATCTTCTTTTTATTCTCATTTTCCCAGCCTGGCCTGTGAGGAGCAAATTCACCCATCCACCCACCCGTTCATCCACCCACGCGGTGTGAAATCCACACCCCCTCAAGAGTGCAGCGAGGGTGAGCTCTATTCTTTTAAAGGGTCTGGTCCCTGAATGCATGTGGAGGCCTGTTTCACATATCAAAGCACGTATGCCTAATGAATGCTCCTCAGTTTAATCTACGTAATAAGGATCAACCCACATCAGAAATTATTTGTTTGTCCCAGACTGTTAGGAGACTGAATTGCACTTCTGTTGATCTGTAACTGGGTTACTTGCCACAAAAGAAAGTCATGCTTATTCTTGCTCAGTTTCTCAGCGGACAAAAGATGCTTCAAGACTGTATTCTGGGTCTCCGGATGTGATATAAACAGGGTCATAAATGTTTTGAGCTCGTCCACTTTTGAGCACTTCATTGACCCTCATGTAGTCGAATGTGTTCGAACAATCACAAAAGACCATCCTCTCTGCCTGCTGACCTAATTATTAAAAACATTATGGGATGGGTTACTGCTAGTCAGGCTGGATTCAAACTTTGGCATCAGAAATTGTGAGTTTGGTTTGAAGGTAAAAAACAAATGTACACAATGTTCTCTCACAGTGTTCTCACAAAAACCCACAGCGCTTGACGTGGTTTCTGGCACTCGGAGATGAAACAAAAGCTGCTTCTCTCTGTATCATTTTCTTTTGTCTCCTTTTAAAATCCATTTGTATCACAATTGTGCTGTTTTAAAGATCATAAAAGGCACACAGCTTTTACACCCCGTCCTCAAGAAGATCCAAAAGTAGTCAAAGTAGATTAAAAAGCAGGTGCAAGCAGGAATCGTCTACAAGTGATCGAATCGACCAGGTATAAAAACATTACAAGCACAGATTGTACAGTAATAAACTTAGTTCAATAGAGTGAACTTGTAAACCTGAACCATTGTTTCAATAAGCCACACAAAATACCATGTTAACCTTCCTGTCATGTTTGAGTCAAATCTGACCGATTTACTACTAAAAACACTTTTATATATTGTGTTCTACATCGGATTATCTCAAGACCTTATGATATCTATCACACCATGCAGTAGAACAAATAAAAGGGATGATCACCTCTTTCATTGTATTTTGAGTGTTTTTATAAACCTTGTTACACTTGTGGTGTTCCCGCTCAAAAGTGACCGCCATAGGAAATGAATGGGTGTCCAGACTATATTCATTCATCAGACAGAAAACATCCCCATACACATCCACTTACACACATTTCAGACTGAACAATGTGTTTTGCAGGCACACATCTCTTTTGCGCACTTTTGTGCTGATCCTCCAGCCTGATCTAACGAGGAAATGTAACTATTTTACGTTTGGTCAGTTTAGTGGCTAATTTGTAAAATGTAAAATTTTTAAAGGAGGCATGGCACCAAACCCCACACCTAAACCCAATCGTTATTGGACATAAGAAAATCTTACTAAATTGTACGAATTCATATGGATTAGCCACTAAATCAAAAAGTTATGAATGGCCATGAGATAAT